AAATAGGAAAAGTTTATTTCGCCTCACAGTTTTAGAGGTTTTGATTTATGATTGATTGGCCCTGCCACTTTGGGCCTGTGGCCAGGCAGTACATCACGGCAGGAGAATATGGAAAAAACATTCATCTTGTAACTGGGAATGAAAGAGAAAGAGGAGAAATCAAGAGTCCCAACATTTCCTTCAAGGGCAGAGGTTTTGACTGGAAGACCTCCCGGAGTCCCAATCTCTTATTAAAGTTTCTCCCACCTCCCAATAGTAATAAGTTGAGAACTGAGTCCTCTAACTCATGGGCCTTTGGAGAACAAATAAAATCCAAGATGTAGCAGTATAGTACAGTTGTTTAAATACTTACCTGTTTAAGATGTTTGTTTCTGGTTTTAAACTATTATAACTAAAGATGCTGTGAACAACCATGGATACTTTTTCTGTGTGAACATTAGTTTTTATTTCTCTGAGATAAATACTGAGAAGTAAGATTGTTCGATCATATCCCAAGTGCATGTTTATATTTTAAGAAATTTCAATATCAATTTCCATAGTGTCTATGTATTTCCACAAACAATGTATGAGATATATGATTTCTGTGCATCCACACCAAGCATTTGGGTATTTTCAGTATTTTTATTTTTGTTATGCTCATACATATATAGTGATATCAAAGGCTGGGATGTTGAATAACTTTGCCTATGTTTCTTTGTCATGTGCAAATGGTCCTCAGTTTACAATGATATGATGCCCAGATAAACTCATTCTAAGTTGAAGGTATAATCAAGTTGAAAATGCATTAAATTTATCTAAACTACCAATCACTATAACTTAATCTAGCCTACTTTAAATGTGCTCAGAACACATAAAGCCTACAGTTGGATGAAAAAAAATCTTAACACAAGACATATTTTTAATAAAGTTTTTAATATCTCAGGTAATTTATTGGAAACATTATGTATACTGCAGAACATCAGTCATTTACCCTCGTGATACATGGCTGACTGGGAGCTATGGCTAGGTACTGCTTCTTCGCAGCATCAAGAGAATATTATACCATGTGTCACTGGCCCCAGAAAAGATCAAAACTCAAATTCAAAGCAAGGTTTCTACTGAATGTGTATAACTTTGGAATTATTATAAAGCCAAAAAATCATAAGCCCATGGCTATGGGTTTAGTTCATTGGTAGTGTATGTGCCTAGCATGTGTGAGACCCTGAATTCCATCCTCAGCACCAAAAAAAAATAAAAATAAAAAGAAGAAGAAGAAGAAAGAAAGAAAAAGAAAACTAATACATCAAGCAATCATTAGTTGGGAGGACCATCTGCAGCTGTAGAGCTACTCAATTACTTTTTGCATATTTCAATATCTATGGTGGTTTTCGTGGGCATTGTGTGGCGCATTTTATCTAAATTGCCTAATTTATGTGTCAGAATTGTTTATACTATTTATTATCCTTTTGATATATCTAGGGTCTATAATAATATTGCTTTTTACATTTCTGGTATTGTTAATTTGTCTTTTTTCCCCCTTTTTAGTCTTGCTGGAGGTTTGCCAATTTTATTCATCTTTTCAAAAATAAAAAAAAAAAACACTAGGATTTTGTCTCATTGATTTTCTCCATTGTTTGGTTTCAGTTTCATTGATTTCTGTTCTTGTCTTCATTATCCTCTTTGTTTTGCTTGCTGCTGCAGCCCAGGACCATAAGAAAGTATCATACTGCAAATTACTGACCTGGAAAATAAGACTAAATGCTTTAGATTTATTTGTTCTTTTTTCTAGTTTCTTAGAGTAGGAGCTTAGGGTGATTTGAGACTTTTTCACTTTTCTAACATAAAATTTTAATGCTCCAAGTGTCCCTCAAAGCACTGCTTTTGCTAAGTCACAGATTTTGATATATTTTTCTTTCTGAACATTGTGCTTTTTAGATTTGCCTTAAAACTTATTTAACTCGAGAATTATGTACAAACATGTTAACATCCAAGTGGGGGAAGATTTTCCCATTATTTTTTTTATTACTGATTCTAGTTTGATTCCATTTTGGTCATAAAAACATACTCTATAATTTCAGTGTTGAGAGAGGACTGTTGAGTTCTCCAACTATAATTGTAGATTTGTCTATTTAGTTCTCTAAGTTTTTGCTGCTAGGTATATCACATTGCAAGTTAGTTGTCTGGTCTATATTTTCTTGCTGGGTTAACACTTTTATTATGTGTGGTGTAATGTCCTTTGTTGTTCCTGGTAGTTTTTTTTACTCTGACTCCCATTTCATCTGATATTAATACAGTCACTTCTGCTTTCTTTTGGTTAAAGTCTATTTGGCATATATTTCCATCTTTTCATTTTCAGTTTACCTATATTGTCACATTTAAATTGTTTCTTATGGGCAACATATAGTTGGTTTATTTTAAATCTATTCTGCCAATCTCTGCCTTATTGGCATAGAAGTCTATTTAGACTTACAAAAAATATTTTTTAATTTATATATGACAGTGGAATGCATTACAATTCTTATTACATATATAAAGCACAATTTTTCATATCTCTGGTTGTATACACAGCATATTCACACCAATTCATGTCTTCATACATGTATTTTGTATAATGTATAGTGATCATCACATTCCACCATCATTAATAACCCCATGCCCCCTTCCTTCCCCTCCAGCCCCTCTGCCCTATCTAGAGTTCATCTCTCCCCATGCTCCTGCTCCCTATTCCACTATGAATCGGCCTCCTTATATCAAAGAAAACATTTGGCATTTAATTTTTTGGGATTGACTAACTTCACTTAGCATTATCTTCTCTACCTCCAGCCATTTACCTGCAAAAGTAGACTTACAAAATTATTGGTGCTATTAGGGCCTAACCCTGATATTTTCTTTTTCTGTTCATTGTTTTTCCTGTTATGTTTTCCCCTGAATTTCTGTGGGGTCATCATAACATGTTTTAGAATTTCACTTTGATTTATCTGTAATGATTTTACCACATCTCTTTTATAGCTTTTTTTAGTGGTAGCTCTCGATATTACACAATTTTATGTATAATTTATTACAATTTACTATTGCTGACACTTTACAATTTTAAGTGAAGTATAGAAAACTTACCTTCTTTCATGTCCCTTTGCATCCTCACTCAATACTAAATATTCATAATATTTCCTTTACATTTACATTATATTGGCAACCAGATCAATATTGCCATTCTTTGCCTTAAGAGTCAAACATAAGAAAAATCAGAAAAGGAGATGCTGTGTTTATTGATAATTTTATTCTTTTCATTGTTACTTCTTCCATCCTGATGTTCCAAAATTCCTTTTTTTTTTTTTATCATTCCCTTTCTCTTTGGAGAATTTTAGCCATTCTTTTGAAGTGGGTCTGCTGGTGACAAGGTTTTTTAGTGTCCTTCATTGAGAATGTCTTGATTTCCAAATGCATTACTAAGAATTATTTCACCAGATGCAGAATTTTACTGGCAGTAAGAGCATCTGAATAATGCTGTGACACTTTTCTAGGTTCTATGTCTCTGATGAGAGTACGCTGTCATTCAACTTGCTTTTCTCCAATAATTGATAAGGTATTGTTTCTGTATTGCTGCTCTCAGGATTATCTTGTCTCTAGTTTTCACAATTGTGATGATGATGTACCTTGGCAAGGATTTTATTGAATGCACTCTGCTTGGGGTTTTCTCACTTTCTTGGCTCTATAGGCTAATGGTATTTGTTAAATTTTGGGGAGTCACAAGTCCAGGTTCCTGCCAGGCATGGTGACACATTCCTGTAGTGCCAGCTACCCAAGAGGCTGAGACACCAGGATCACTTGAGCCCAGGAATTCAACACCAATCAACCTGTGCCAAATATCAAGACTTCATTTCAAAAACAATAGTTTAGGTACCACACACACTCTGACTCCATTGATAATCCAGAAGAAGGGTATATGGATCTTCTAGGGCAAAAGCAGAAGTTCAGAATTTTCAGTAAGAATGAGAGGAGTTTCTCATTATCAGGAATGAAAAATTTTAGCTCCCAATCCCAACTCTTCACTCAGCATTTGATGCTGAGGGTAGGGTTGGGGCAACACCAGTAATGTTTGGCTCATGTCAGAATCATTGTTTGTTTTGTAAGGCCTAACATTGTTATCTACACTTAATGGAATAGGAAAAAACATATCTACTCCAAATTTCACAGGATGACCTTCTAACCATGGTTTTTAATCTAGTTTCTGCAAAATACTATTGCTCACTTCCTTCAAATTGGCCACATGTTTTAGAACACAGATACTTCTTTGTTAACCATTGGTAATTTAAATATATATTTGTTTTATTAAAGTAAGAGTCAAATATAATACATAATAAGATATTCTAATATCCTCAATATTTTTCTCCTTTAACTATTAGAATCATTAAAATGCACTAATTAGAATATTGATTCTTTTTGTAGCAGTAGACATTTTAATAGAATACAAAATTAACCATAATTTTTGCTGAATCAATCCAAAATGGCACTGAAAAGTTGAAAAAAAATTACCCAGGACCATGAGCAAATTTATTCTATGCATCAATTTCATTTTAAATGTTCATTTTTATCAAAGTCATGGTTGCCATTTAAATTTTTAAAATATAGTTTAGTACATTTTGAAAATTGCTTTCTGACTAGCTTTCAATTTGATATGTCAAACAAAATGCAGTTTCAGGGGCTGGGGCTGCAGTTCAGCAGCGAAGTACTTGCCTAACACTTGTAAGGCAGTGGGTTTGATCCTTAGCACCACATAAAAAATAAACAAATAAAATAAAGACATGCTGTCCATCTACAACTACAAAAATAGATAAATAAAATTTTAAAAAAAAACAGAGTTTCAGCTTTGGTGAACTTTTGTGTTAGGTTTGAGAAAGATAAATTGTCTAATAAAACTTTAAGTTTCTTATGAGTACATACAAAGAAAAAAAATGTTTTCTATTAACATTGACTTATAGATCATTACTAACAATGTAAAATTTGAAAGTATATTTCCAATATTTAAATTTTTAATTCACAAAATTTATTTTATTGAATTTAATTGTATATTAGATACATGCTGGGTTATGCAAATAACCAAAGATTTTTACAACATTCTTATACACATATTTTCTGTGCTATTTACACAATACAGAAAGGCACTGATGAGAATTTACACATGGGCTAATAAAAGAAATCATTACAATTATTAGGAAATATGTCATAATAAGTCAATGGTCCTTGACTTAAATAAGATTAAAGTTTATGGTCAACTTTTATCTTGAAAGGTACAAAAGCAGTTAATATAATCATATTTTGTGCTATTCATTTTACAGCATTAGATAATATTAGTTAATTACATATGTAATAAATCTAATATTTTCATTTATTTATGAAACTTTAGAAAAAATAATTTGTGATAAATTATTTTCTGAATTAAATTAAAAATTGCATAGCAAAATTAATTTTCATGAACAACGTTTTTAAACACATTAGATAACACACCAAAATAATATGTAGATTTTAACCAGTACTCTAAACAGGTTTCCCTCACATTTTCCCATGGGGTAATGAAAGAGTAAGAAATATAGATGTTATAGGTTAGTCATGGAATTAAAAGAAATTTTGACAATGCTATTCACATGCAAATATTGTAATAAAGGCATCACTGGGCATGTCTGATTCACCTAGAACCCCAGACATTATTATAATGATGAATTAATCAGAGGATACACATATCCAAATAACTGTCCAGTTCATCCCATAAGCTAGCAAAAATCAAGATTTTATTTGCCATTTTCTCTTTTAACTTGTGAATCATACTTTTAATGCCAATAAATCTGAGTCATATCACATACTTGCACAAAGTATTAATGAAACTTTAAGCTTAGTAGATGGTCTCACTATAGGCACTTCTCCACAGTGACATTCACCTGACATTTATTAAAAATGACTATTTTCATCATTACCTAAAATTGGATATCCTCTGAAAGTTAATTTCTGTTAATCATTCAAACTTGCTGCAGATGTTACCACTGTGTCTATGGTAGAACATCCATAAAATACTCAGTTCCTCCCTGTAGGCTAAAAGCATGACCACCGGGTTCATTTTCTGTCTTTTGTCTTTGTGATTTTATAATTAACATCTTCTTTCACTTTCAGTGTTGTGAAAAATTTTATGGTCACACTCACCACTCACAAGTAGAATTAGAAAAAGTGTTAAAACAAATTAAGGTATTTTGGTTCCCCAGCACCAATGGAGAGACACAGGATGCCAAAGCATGGGTTCCCTAAATCTTGAGTGAAAGATTATGGAACTTATGATATAACTGGCCAGCCAGAAGAGTGAATTTCAAAAATCATAGAAAGATAATACATAATAACTGTTAGAGTCTGTAAACAAGTCAAAAATAACACCTGGCATTTAGCCAGGGGAATGTTAGAGTTCGTAAACAAGTCTGGATGGTGCCTGGCAAAATGCCAGAGGGAGTGGTTTGAGAAGTAACAAAAGCGAGCTATTAAGTGTGGAGATTCCTTATTGGTTGACTGATGTATCTAGTTTATGCTAATTAGATAAGCTCTGTGGAATGTATAAATACTGCTCCTGTCCTGCAATAAACGGCTCCCACTCCTGCTGTATCAACGTACACAAGTTATTCGTCACCCCCCGGTTATTTTGCTGCAGCAGCCGGACTGCGGCAAATAACCTTATTTTCTAAGAAGTGTGTAACTAACAGGTAGAGTTGCTCCACAAGGTAGGTAAGCCTAAGTTAGCACTTAGGATTTCAGTCCCAATTCTAAACATGACAGGCAGGATGACTTGAGGCACTTACTCCATCTCTCTGAGCCTAAGTTCCCTCATCTATAAATATAAAATAGCAGGAAATAACTGTTTAATGACATAGGATGATGTGGAGATTAAATGATATAAAATATTCCAAAGCATTTTGCATGGTGCCTATCACACACTATGCACTCAATAAATGTCAGTTGTTGTTATTAAATAATGTAATATTCCTTAATGAAGAACTCAGTTGGCAACAAGGCATATAACTGACTTTCCAGATGGAGTGCAAAGACATCTCTAAGTGTGGTATGAAAGAAGTGCACATAGTGCCAGTTTTCTTTTTCTTTATAATAGGATAAATTTGCAGTTAATCAAAATCAAAGTAGACATGTATAAATATGTATGATTCAAGATTCCAAAATAATTGAATCATTCCTCTATTTCTCATTCTTTTCATAAATATTTATTCAGAGCACCGACAAGTAGGTCACTGCCTTTTAATTAATACTAGAACACATTCTTGAAGTCATTCCTATCTAAAGTTGAGCATCGCTAATGTGAAGTAAGTCCCCAATTCTGTGTATAAATTTGTTCAGTTACAGAAGATTCATTTTCTAACAAGAAGTAGAGCAGATACTCAGTAAATCATTTTGCATAAACCTATTTAAGTGCCTCAAAGATAAGGACCCAGTGCATAAGCAAGCAGAACTGACAACTTTTCCTTTTGATGAATTTGATGAAAGGTATGCTTTCAGGGATCCAAACTAAAATGTTTTTTTAAAAAATTGTTTCTTTTAAAATTAAAGTCTGAAGTGAATTCTGAGAATGAGGTATCAGAAGACACTGTCTGGACGGGGACAGTGGAATGAGATTAGTGAAGTGGACACAACTATCAACTCTCTAGGGAACCATACAAAAGAATACAATTACTGAAATTCTTTACATTTAAAGTCAACACATTAACTTACAAAATAAAATAAAAAATGGGCTTATCTGTGTGCTGTCCATGAAACATGGAGGACAATAGGAACTTAAGTTAAAAACAATAGTTTCTGTATAATAGTTTAGTCAAGTTATATGATTGTTTTCCCCTGTTAAAATATTTTTTAAATTCTGATTTGTCACCATTTAAATTGTTTCTCTAAAATAAGCACAAATTTACAAAAGTTGATTTATTTATTTTTATTTTTTTTAGTTATAGATGGACACAATGCCTTTATTTATTTATTTATTTTTGTGGGGCTGAGGATCAAACCCAGTGTCTCACATGTGCCTGGCAAGTGCTCTACCACTGAGCCACAAGCCCAGCCCAAAACTTGATTTTTATTAATAAATTTATCCATTCAAAACACATTTTCATGACATCTTTAACATATGTTCATTGTGGTAGATACAGGACATAAAAATAAAAGGCAAAATCCAGGAAAGAGTCCAGCAAACATATTTTATAATACAGGGCAATAAACGCAGAGAAGTTTGTGCACCTAAGATACTACATGTCTCACTGGGTATGAGAACTACCCAAAGTCATAAGATCAGCATAAAATTATGACAGGTAGTCTTGAGCTAGTGGAGTGGGGAAAGACATCAGGGAGAGCATTCTGGGCTCAATCTCTATGTACAAAAGCTACTTCAAGACATTGGAGAGAGATCAGCAATTTGGTTAACTGCAATATTAAGAAATGGCAATGGTGAGCCTATAGCAATTTGGCCTGGAACCTATCAGGTGAAGTTCAAAAGTGAGATTTGTATTTAAGAAAGAGGATCAAGCAGCAGCACAAAAGATGGGTTGACAGAAGATGAGACTGGGGAACAAAAATCAGCTGGTGAAGGTGGGATGGGGGGAGGCAATGGGGTGGATTAATGAGCTATTAAGGTCAAAGAAATGGAGATTCATGACCCATAAGTAAAGGAGAAGAAAGGAGCACAATCAATTTTAAAATTGGGCCTACATAAGTAATGCTAGGGAAAAACAGACTGCAAAAGGAAAAGATATACTTTTTCATATAACCTGAATGTGAAAATATCTGGGAATTCTATAACATCATTAAATCCACTTATTATTCTGAAAATCCCCATGAGCTGGAAAGAATCACAAAATTTCCCTAGGTGTCTAACATATAAAGCTGGAGTGGTTTCTCTGCTTCAGCTTTTCTTCTGCTTAGTATCTGTAGTCCATTGACAATTGGACGTTCTTAGTTATTCCATTTATCTTTTCCATGAGGTGAGGTAATGGAATCATTTCATTTTTAATAAACAGTGCTAAAGCAATTTTCCAGGGCCCTCCAGAGAGACTCTGAAAAGCCAAACATCAACTTAAATGTTGAAGTACCTTTTCTGCCTAGAGTTATTAAAATAACTTGTCTTTGCTAGAAAAAAAAAGTAAATGGTAAGCATTGCCACTTAAAAGCAATGCCACTTAAAATTTCAATTTACTAGATAAATGTTTCAGATCATTTGACCTTAGGGCACTAATTTTCATTTTTTTTTCTTGAAATCTATTTTAACCTAAACAGTTGGTGGTGTCAAAATAGAAGCATGTACATGCAAAAGAGCTATACTGATTTGGTGTTGTACACAGCTAGTCACAGATATACCAATTTGAATTGGACTTACTCAAATAACAGTTTTGATTAATTTTTCACTGAATTCAAGTTGTTTGGATTAAACTAACTGCCATCATATCACCCAAGATAATTTTTTCAAATTAATAATGAATTTAATCAAAACAAATGAATGGCTCTAAGACCAATAAAATTAATTTGGCCACAAAGCAGTGTATTCCAGTTTGATAAAATTTATATGTCTACTCAACATGTTTTATGACAAAAGACTGCACTGCTGCAGCAATAAAATAATGAGCAGTTTCCAAGTGCTTACTTTATGTATATTACTTATGCTATTAATAACATTAGGTAAGATACCATATAATTTTCACTATTAGAATCTTATAATTTTCTTAACCAATATATGCATGGTGCAAGTTTCTATAAAATATTTCTTTTCAAATCACTGAATTTTCTTCCCCAAGTTTTAATCCTTTAATCACCAAGAAATGTGAATTTTTAACATAGTCCCAAGCTCTTCCCTCTTTGCTTCTAATTGTTCTTAACCCTGTTGCCCGATAAGCAGCAGGACCCCAGGCCCTTAAGTATCAAGAGCTCCCAATCTAGTATGAGGCATAATTTCCATATTTCATTTAAAGCCATTGATCACTTTTCCTATCCGTTTAGATTTCATTTCATTTAGTTATAGTGACCTTAGAGAATACTTCAGTTATATGTGCAATAGAAACTATCTATTTTTTCAAGATAAGTCTAAGGCATTTGCAACAACATGGAAGTACTTTAGTACTTTCAGATTTCAGTCTAAGGAATTATTATCATAAAGCATCAATTGTGTATTTTTATATATTTAACCAGTCATAAATTCCAAGAAACTACATAACAAATAAAAGATACTAGGAAACCATGAACCACAGATGAATTACAGATAGTCACAGTGTTGCATTATGACTATATAGTTCTGCAACTTAAAACATGAACACCAGGAGGTGTACCTGAAAAAGTTCAAACCCCATGGTGGGGAGAAGGGGATTCTACTTATAAAGACTAAGCAGATCTTTGGTTTGGTGTAGGAAAGCAATGGAAATGAGTGGATTAAGATTAGGAGGATTTGCTTTTGTAGTGACAGCACTTTGGGACAAGCAAATGGTTTTATTTCCTTGCTTTAAACCATTATTTATGGATTAAAAGTATATATTTATTCTACAAATTGTAGGATAACCATCATTAGCAAAAGCACAAAGTATTCATTTCCAAAGAAGACACATTTTTTTACAGTATCACAGAAGGAAGAACTTTACATGAAAATTGTTACAAATATTTCACATACAGAGTAAGATTTGGGGAAAAAAATAACTTTTTAAGACAAATGGCAAAGGCTTTCTCTTTAATAAATTCTTTGGTTTTAAACAGGTCTTTAGTGACGTTTGTTCAATAAACTATTAACTGATTTTGCTGGTGTCTGTTCTGTGTGTCTGTTATGGACCAGGATGTAATTCATTATCTTGGATTACAACTCATAGAACATGTTTGAAACAATTTACCTTGCTTTAACATAAAAACAATAACAAAATAAAAATATATCTTTAGATATGAGATAGCACATTTTGTTTATGAAGCTACTACTTTGTGTGTTGCATAAACTTTTTGTCTTTTAAAAAAATAAAAACTCTGATGGTCTTAAAAGAAAGGATAAACCAAGATGAAATATGAACTCTGCACACATCTTCCCATGACCCCTGACATGATCTTTCCATTTATTGGTTCCCAGATTCCTGCATTTAAAAAAACATAATAAAACATAATTAATGTCCTCATTATTCTATAATAACTATCACTTTAGCAAAACAAAAGTACTGGGAAACAGGGGTAACCTACTGCCAAAGTGAGGAGCTCTGCTGTTGATGAATTAAGAAAATTTTAACTCAATAAAAAAAAATCAGCAATTATGAATTAATTCACAGCACTAAATATATGGGAATATATGAAAATAAAATGATAGAATAATACAGAAAACTTGAGAGAAAGAAAACGTCATGTGAAAAATTGTAAAAGAAACTAGCCCGAGGTGATTAAAAAAAAATACATAGAGAGAATGCAATTGATTTACTTTTAGATTGGTTGCTACCTATTTTCTGGTGGAGAAGGATGCTATTAATTTTTGTATAACTATATATTTTCTTCTATAATAGTATAACAAGCATATTCAAGCACACTGTCAATTACTATGTCTGTTTTGAAACTCAAAAGAAACTGGATTAATAGCCTGTGTATATTGGATTTTGCCTTGTAGCTCAATGATCATTTGGAAGTAACTTACAATTTTTCTGTGTCTTGGGGCATTATTTTCTATACCATTGCTATCATCTGATTTCCTGTGAGGAAAACAAAAAGGGAAATCATTATATGTTTACAGTGCATAAAATTAAGTCAGTATATACCATTTACATCATGGCGATCAGGATAAAATGGAAAATGCCAATGCAGACAGAATGCATTTTTCTAAAAATATTTTATTCTTAATGTTGATTTTTATTTTTGTGTCAGTGCTTGGAGAAGGGTTGTTGCCTTGATGTCGATGATAAAAGCTCGTTTGTTCTATGCAAAGGGAAGAGCACGAATGGGATTTGGGCATATAACCATAACTTAGGCATTGTTTGGAATCATGCAAGATAATAGCCAATAAGGAGCTCAACTAGGTTGTGTCACACAGGTCTCATGCTTTGATGTTTATTACATTGCATTAGAGGTCAAACACGGTTCTTTACCCAATGTACATCAGAACAAGACTATAAATGTGGGCTTCAGATTCTTAAGAATGACTAAACTAGGTAACTGTTGTGCATTGTGAATGTCCCTGGAGATCTGTGCAGGCTTGAGCTCATTAAACTACTGCCACTAAGCAATAAATTCAACCACCCAATCGATAATGTCAAAATTGGAGTGTGTGGATGGTGGTAGGTGGAACTGTGTAGATTATACATCCAAGTGGAGTGAATAAATGCACAATCTCTTTATTGAACTATTTGCAGTAACTAGCTTGTTTTGATGTTATTGTGTTGAGTATTATATTTTTAGATCTTTTTCATCAAGAAAATCCTATAATCATGGGGATCTAAGTACATATATAAATGTTATATGTAAAATATATTTTGTGTATAATACATAAAAATTTTTTTCTGCCCCCCACAATTATCTCTAACAAAAAAAAATCTAGAAGAACATTGTTACAGGGTACAAGGTTGGATTGGTCTAAATAAACTAAAAGTGTCCTCGCTCCTTGTACTAATCTTTTACTGAGATAACCTAAAAAATTGAGACATTTTAAATGATTTCTGTGGTACAGTGAAGGATGAAGAAAATCATGTGCACTACCCCAGTTCTCAAAAAAAAAAAAAAAAATTTCATTCTTTGTATTATAGATTGAATCAGTTTGATATTGTCTCTAAGATATCCTAAGGGGGGAAAATACTGAATAGGGGAGGCTGCGTAAATGACCATGAAATTATACAGAACTGACAGTCCATTCCATACTGTTCAGGCAACCTGTTTATTAGTATGTCTTGCACAAACTAAAATGCAGCCTCTACCTGTGACCTCACAGGAATGGTCAGGGACTCTGTGGAGGCTGAACCAGGGGAACAGAAGAAGCAAGGCAAGGTTATGCTTGTCTTCCAGTATGCGAACAGCTGTTGCATATTTAGGATTCTAAGAATAAGAAAGAGGTCCAATACATGGGAATCAGAACAATTCAAAGTTCAGGTCACAATAAACAAACTGCCCAAGTTTTCCAGGAAGACAGCAGACTGCCTTGGGAGAAGTGTGATTGCCTACCAACTGGAAGAATGTCAGATTCCAATACAAAGCCTTTTCTTCCCTACCTGGTTTCATGGAACTCCCTGTTTTAATTATTTTGTGTGGTTAACTTGGAAGCTCACCTCTTGATCTCTCCCTCTCTTTTTTTTTTTTTTTTTTAACCTGCTATTTGTGAACTGAGTCAAAATGCCGGTTTGAATGTCTGTGAATTGCTGCAAGACAACTGTCTGGCCCAATACTGTTCTTTCAGGTGGCTGCAGACTCACACCCCAGGACACCTAAGGGCTAATAAGGATAAACTTCCAGTGTCATTTTGTGTTGGTGACAGTTGTCCAGATCTCCCACTTCTCAGGTTTTTTCATCTGCGATAGTCTCACATTCTCAGTCTATGGCCCTTGGCTCTGTTACTCAGACTTTAATCCCCATCTTGGGCACCTCTGTCACTGGCCTTCATACTTCATACTTCACTTCCACCTTCCCCATACCAAATTATATTCCCAGCTATTTTATTCCCAGCCTTCCTCATGTTCTACTCTAAAAAGGGTTGTAGAAGAATTCATGACAAAATTTGTATTCTCTCAAGAATAATCACTAATAGAATTACAAACCAGTGATTTTCAATCTGACAATCAGAACTACTGGTAGATGTTGTCAAGAAATACAAATGCCCAGACCCAATCCCAGAGGTTCTGGTCTGGGGAATCCAGCAAGGTCTGAGTCACTGTATCTGACTATGTAGTCAAGAATGAGAACCATTTAAGCAAATAATATTTCCCTGTGGTCATTGAACACTGATGCATCAAAGCCTATGCTGAGCATTTTTACACTGTAGTATTATTTAATCCAATAGGTTTAAGTGATAAATTCTACTATGAACCCATTCTGTAAAGGAGAAAACTGAAGCACAGAGAAGTGTGGGCAGTAAGTGATACAGGGGAATTATTCTGTTGTTTTTAATCTTGTTTTGTAGTTATAAATGGACAGAATGCCTCTATTTTGTTTATTTTTATGTAGTGCTAAGACTCAACCCCAGTGCTTCACACATACTCTGCATCTGAGCTACAGCCTCAGCCCTAGATGGGGATTCTAACACAGGCAGAGGACTCCAGATGCCAATCTTCACCACCTCATGGACATGTTCAGAAAATAACATGCATATCATATATTCTGGTGCTTTTTGTGTTCCTGACTGTAAATAGTTCATTCAGTTCCATATTTATCTGTATTTAACTGAAGCAAAAATTAATCTGTAAACAGTAATACTTACAGCTGTTCAATTTGTTCAAATTCTTTCCCTTCCTCTGTGTAACAAAAGAAGAACATGAGAAGAAAGGTTTACTATTTTTAATGAAACATACATGTTCAATTTAACCCCCCTCCCAAGCTAAGAATGCCCAGTGCTGCTCTTCCTGTTTGGAATGAAGCTAAAACACATTATCTTAACCAGAAGCACCAACGCAGGTGCTCCTGCTTGCCTTCCTCTTTATCTACAGACTTCATCTTCATTTCTGACCAAGAAAAGCCTGGGATTTTCAAATATATGATTGATTATCTGCCACTATTTAAGTTATTAAAAATTCAATACAAAATCAGAAAAGAATACAGAATGTATAGTAGATTCTTTCAAAGGACCATTGGTTTCTCAACCCATATCCCATCAGGCACAGGCTACAAAAATAAGACACTGACAAGACAATGTCTTTTAAGAAAATGCCAGAATATTTGATAAAAATATTTTAAAATGAATTATCCAAGTGAAAAAAAAAACTGTCTTTAAGGTCTTCTATATTAAGCAAAGACAGATTTTTCTAATATTGCAATGTCAACTGTCACATCCCCTCATTAGTGCTCAGGTATCAGTAGCATCAAAAGAAAAAAGTTAATTTTATTACTAATATTTTTAAGCAAGTTGAAACAGGAAGACCATCAATATAGGCTCACAGCTCACTATCTCCCTTGTTATTAACATAAATACTGCTGCAAATAATAAAACAGGGTTCTTTCACAATACTTCAAAGTCACTGTGATATATTAAGTCATAGTACATATCATAAGTAAGTGATATCATAAATAAGTAGCAATGAAAAAATAAATCCTACCTGGGTGCTTCTTTTTCTTTTGCGTGTACATTTCACAAAGCAGAATAAAAGCCACTAAAAGGATAACTTCAGCAATGATTGCAAGAAAGGGTTTGAGGGGCACCAAAAAGCTCAGCACAACAAGTTCAATGTGTTCCTCACTCTCGCCCAGCTGGAATATTGCATGGCACCAGTAGGATCCGCCATCTTCCTCCGAAAGATGCATTATCTTGAGCCTTGTTTCATTAGCGTGTTTTCCACTGATAACATATTTATCATTCATGTGAACATCAACAGGAACCTAATGTAAGGAAATGTTAAAATCCAATGCTATCATATCACATAAAAGACACATGTCCTATATGATCTAATTTTGAGCAAAGTTATCACGTAATGCCAAGAAAACTGCTTCCTGGAAAAAAGGCATACTAAAATTTGTGAGACCTTATATACAACAGAATTAAATCTTATCAGAGTTTGATTTTCCAGGTAGCAAATCAAGGAATAAATATTCTCTGTGATAAGAATTTAGCACTGAATGTTTTTAAAAAGTGAATAGATCATCATGGGTGAATATTACATGAGAATAAAAAACAGAAGAATTCCAGCCATCTGGGTTTTACATTCCAAGACTGACCAGCTCCTCACAAGCACAAGCACACAGTGAAACAACTCCCAACCCTGAAGCTACCCACTATTTCTGATCACTCCCATGAAAGTCGACTACTAACCCTGACAATGGGAGCTCTCCACACTGGAACTGAAGCTGCAATCTTCAGACCTTCCAAGCTGATACAAAAGCAATGGAAAAAGAGATTTGCTATCTACAGGGGCTTGTACCCTTCTTATCCTTCACGTCCCAATTTCTGTCTCACAGGCAAAATGGCTTCTGAGATTCTCTAGGTTTTTGCCAGGCTCATAACAGTCATACTAAACTATATGGAAGCTGCTATATTTAATCAATTTAAATAATATTTTATTCCTAGGCCCATCTGATGTCTTCCCTGGTCTCACTGTTCAATAAAAGTTACTCTGCATAAAAATATTCTCTGAGGTTACCTGAGGAAGAACTTTCTATGAGTTTCTTGTTGGTCAAAAACATTGTAGTGACCTGACTCAATGTACACAGCACTGCCCGGGATGTTTAGGACAAATGCCCCCTCCCAGAGTCAGAGATGAAAAGTCAGAGTCTTGCACTTAAAATAAGTCCAGCTGATTCTGATGCAGATGGTTGGTTACATTTTAGAAAAATACTTGACTTAGAGTTTTGACCTGGACCTTCTTCCCTGTACTTTTCTCACATCCTATTATGACCCATGCTCAGAGTCAAGAGAATGATTTCATAACAAATGGACAGAAGCACAGGTATATACATGTAAAATGACATTCTAAAAGTTTAATATAATTTTATTTAGGGAGTTTTGTTCAGTAATAAAGAGAAATGAAAATATGTCATTTGCAGGAAAATGGATGGAACATTGGATATTATGTTCAGCAAAACAAGCCAAACTCAGAAGGTTTTAGGTCATACGTTTTCTTTCACATGTGGAAGCTAGAAAGGAAAAAGGAAAGGAAAGATGGCGGAGGGATCGCAGGGAAATCAGTAGAATGGAGAAAAGGGACAAAGGGCAAGAAGAGGAGAAGGAAAGAAAAAATATATATGATTCAATTTAGGCCACTGTTTGATATCATATATGCACATATAAATCAGGTTGTGTATTTCAAACACTTGATTTATTTTTACAAATTTTTTTTAATATTTGCATACACCTTTCCTAATCATCAGTAACATGACAAAGAGAAATATTAATTGGGTAAGTCTATATCTGCACAACCTGGAGCTATTCTTTGAAAAACTAAGCCAACGTTACCACGGAATCAGTCATTCCTGCTTTCCAAGTTCTCCCTCTGTCATCCTTCAGCTGTCTATAAATCACCAATTTTGTCCCAGAAGGAATTTAATATTTCATTATAAAATCTCTTCTGACTCATATGCTTCTTCTAGAATGATAGCCTGCCTTTAACAGAGCTTTAATTTCAATGATCATTAGCAGCAGGGCTAGAGAAGGATGTCCCTGAAGTCTTCTAGCCATTTGAGGCTATGTGGGAGGAAGAAACCAAAATTGATTTATTGAATCTTTTTTTTTTTCCTTCATATCAGCTCTTTGAATAGTCTTTTCCCTTAAATAAATGAAAATTAAAGTACAGTGTTTGGCTCCCATCTAGTAACTGGAAGGCCAAAAAAAAAAAAAAAAAAAAAAACATATAGCACTTACAGATAGAACCTAAGTTACCAGATTTTCATTATTTTTCTCAAATGGTAGTCTTATGTTACATTCTATCACAGATACTTCATAAGACAGAAATGGGAAATGAAGGAGTTTTTTTCCCAGTTACTTTCATGGAAGGTTAGGGAAAGAATCTCTTTTGATGAGTTTATTTCTAAAGTGGTTAAGTATAAATGAAATCTAACTTCCTTTTGAAGAATTTAAATAAATTGCTAAACCTAAAAAAAAAAAAATTAAAGTACAAGCTAATGAAACTAAGATATCTTCATATGTACAATGCAATATGCTGAAACACCAAAAGACAACTCCATTTATCACTGTTCTTTCATTATGAATACATACCAAAAAAATAAACATAGTAGGAATTTTGAGTCTATTATAATCTTGTTATCTATAAACTAAAGGGGTTTTGTTGGTGTTGTTGCTTTCTTCAAATCAAAGAAGCAAGCTCTTACCTGTACACTCCCATTACTACGGTACCATGTCCAATTTGTAGGAAAACAGTGTTCACATTTACACACCAGGACAGTAGAATCTCCCACATACGTGATCAATGGCTTGTGTTTTCCGTGAAGCTCAGGAACTAAGAGAGATTTTTTAAAAATGTACATACTGAAACTGTTCAAGTAAAAGAAATGTCTTAAATTTGAAGACATTTTCTCCTTTAATTTTCTCAGCAATATGTGACTTGATTTTCTTTATGTTGTTTGAGTTATACATGAATTGAAACAAATTAATAGTCACTAGGGTATAGTTAATAGTAGTAAAAATACTAATAGCTAGACAGCTGCAATATAATTGTCTCCAAAGTAGAAATGGAAGAAAGCCCTTCTGTGATTGAACCTAATAACAATTATAGCATTGCAATGAACTGTGACATGCGGCAAACACCTGTAATCCCAGCAACTCTGGAGGTAGGGCAAGAGAACCACAAGCTCAAGGCCAGCCTTGCAACTTAGTGAGACCTTGTATGAAAATTTAAAAAAAAAAATTAAAAGGCCTGGGAATATAGGTAGGTGGCAAAGCACCCCTGGGTTCAACTCCTGGTACCAAAAAAGAGAAAGAAGCTCCATGTTTCCAAGTTTATTATTCCCACCTCTTATGTCACCATAGAGCAATTATTTTCTTCAAAGTTTTGTTTTTTGAAGGCATCTGAGTGAAAAGAAAATTACCAGATTGAAAATTGCTGGTTGATACAGATTTACCACAAATGGAACTGGAGACTATCATGCTAAGTGCAATAAGTCAGTCCCAAAAATCTAAAGGCTGAGTGTTCTCTATGACATGTGCATGCTAACATACAATAAGGGGTGGGGTGGGGGGGAGAATAGAAGTTCACTGGATTAGACAAGGGGGACTGAAGGGAAGGGAAGGAGGATGGGAATAGGAAAGACAGTAGTATAAAACCTATGTTCATATATGAATACATGACTAGTGAAAATCCACATTGTGTACAACCACAAGAATGGGATCCTAATTAGAATAAGTTATACTCCATAACTTATTATGTATAAAACATCAAAATACACTCTATTGTCATGTACATCTAAAAATAACAAATAAAAATAAATAAATAAATAAATAAATAAATAACAGATTTATTAGAAGCCAGCAAAGAGTTAGAGAGGGTCGGAACATTAAAAAATAATAATAATAAATTAAGAAAAAAGAACAGCATAAGAAAAAAGGTTAAATTGAAAAACACTTCATGTGACTTTTTAAAAATATATATGCTAATGTATACGATGACAAATTTCTTAGGTAAGTTTAATATAGATGTCATTATAGCAATAATTAGGTTTTAAGATTTGAACAATTACAAATTAAGTTTTAGGATACAAACAATTTGGTGAAGAAAATTTCAAAAAAGAATACAAGTAATACAATAAAAACTCAAGCCTACATGAAGAAATCAGTTCCTCTGATTGACCTCAAAAGGATGTATCTAGAATGAACACTTAATCTAGGGATGTCAACTGATCAATGATGATTACTCTTTTTGATTTCTTTCTTGTTTTTTTTTCCTTTTACTAACTTTAGCACATTATTTATTTTGTTTTTTTCACTTGTGTTTATTTGTTTAGTTTGCCAGCAGGGGAAGAATGGATAAAATTATGACTGCCTAAATTTTTTATACTATGTTGTCAAATTTCATAGGTATTTTAAAAATTTTACTCATTATTCTATTTTTTTTTTTTAGATTTTATATTTGAGAGGGACACAGTAGAAAGCGGGAAGATCAATTTTAATTGCTAAAGTTAAATATAAGATTAAATATATTTTTCAAGTACTCCTGAGTTCCTTCCTATTACCCAAAGATAATTGGGCAAGTATTTGCTGAAGGTATAAATTTTAATGATGAGCAAAAGGAAAATAATTGGTAACGAGTGGGAAAAAAATTCTAAATTGTGTAGCCCTAGACAAGGGTTTCTTCATGGGTTCTGTCTTTCAGTGATTAATGTTACAATGGCAAGTGGGCAAGCCACCTTGTATTCCTTACTGTTTAAAATGTGCCTACATCATTGTCTCCAATATAATTATACATATCCCCTCTTCATTGGGACTGCTGAGCAGCAGAGTACTGAATGAGACACTGTTAATAATAAAGAGGTGCACATAAAAGGAAGGTATGTCACCCCGAAGGAATAAATGCTTGGGTAATCCTAGCAGAGATGACACAGCAATCCATAAATCAGAGGTTCCCATACTTTTAATAGCCAACTAAACATGTTTTGATTGAACTGAGTAGGCAACAATTTTACATAAACCAAAGATGTGAAGTACCAATCGGAATTTGCAATCACCCCCTAATAATCTTTGGGCACCTATAGAGGAACTACTCGGGTGCTTCTGAAGAAGCACAATGCAGGAGAGTCGAGAGCATGTAGCTCACTCAAGGTGCTGCTCATTACAGTCATCCCAGCCAGAAGAAGCTTGGTGGCTAATCTCACCAAAGATCTTCTTGGCATTCCTTTTGAAAGACTAACTCCCTATCTGTCACCATCAAGCTAGGGAGCATGAGGTTAAGTTAAAAAATCAGATGTCCACACAATGTCACAAAGACAAGATTTGGGTCTAGGAGATACTTGACTTAAGACTACAATTTTAGTGGTACCAGCTTTAAGGCTAAGGGTAGATCATCCCCATCCTGTGGTATTACAATAAAGATTAAACAAGAAAACATAATGTCCTTGGTGCATGGGAAACACCATAAAATTAAAACTTTTATTAAGATTATACACTGGTACTGCTTTCTTAATTAAGCTGTTTTATAATCTGCAATGCCCACGGCCCTTCTATGTCCTGTTCATTGGCCGAATTAATAGGATCAATTTTTTTATGTGGAAAAATGATTTCTAGGCCAGCTAGCCCTGTGAATCAGAAAAGAAATAAAACCCAGGAAAAAGAGAGAGAGAAAGATAGAGAGAGAGAGAGAGAGAGAGACCTGGAAATTATCTGAACCATGGGAATGAGAAAAAGACGCTAAACTGTGTCCTTTATGAAACAAGTAAAATGACAAAAAGTAGGAGATAAATAATTAAAAAACAAGGGTCAGGAAAAGAGTGAAGAAATAGGAGCGCTGAGATGCTAATTATGTAGATATGGCCCCAGTCCATCCTCAAGTGTAACTATCACTACAGAAAGGTAGAATCTTTGCCACCTGATCCTCACATAAAGCATTAATATCCAGGATATACGAAGAACTCAAAAAACTAACACCGAAAAACAAATAACCCAATCAATAAATTGGTAAAAGAACTGAACAGACACTAATCAAAAGCTATACAAATAGTTGACAAATACATGAAAAAAATATTCAACATCTCTAGAAATTAGAGAAATGCAAATTAAAACTACTCTGAGATTTCGTCTCACGACAGTCAGAATGGCAATTACCTAGAATACAAGTAACAATAAATGTTGATTAGGATGTGAGGAAGAAGGCACACTCACACATTGCTGATGGGACTGCAAATTAGTGCAATCATTCTGGAAAGTAGAGATTCCTCAAAAAAAAATAGGAATGGAACCATCATATGACCCAGCTATCCCACTCCTTGGTATACATCCAAAAGATATAGCATACTACAGTGACACAGCCATATCAATGTTTATTGCAGCACAATTCACAATAGCCAACATATGGAGCCAACCTAGGTGCCCTACAACAGATGAAAGAATAAAGAAAATGTGATACACACACACACACACACACACACACACACACATATATATATAATATATATATATATCCAACAGATAAATGGATAAAGAAAATGTGATACACACACACACACACACACACACATATATATATATATATATAATATATATATATATATATATATATATATATATATATATATATATATATCCAACAGATAAATGGATAAAGAAAATGTGATACACACACACACACACAATGGAGTACGACTCTGCCATAAAGAAGAATGAAATTACAGTGTTTGTCAGTAAATGGATGGAATTGCAGCAGACTATCATGCTAAGTGAAATAAGCCAATCCCAAAAAGTCAAAGGTAGGATGTTTTCTTTGATATGCAGAAGGAATCTAAAATTGGGAGGGGGGAGAATACAAAATAGAAGAATGATCAATGGAGTAGATGAAGGGGAAGGAAGGAGGGATGAGATAGGGAAAGACAGTGGAATGAATCTGACCTAACCTTCCTATGCACACATATATGAATATACCACAGTGAATCTCACCATCATTACATTCACAAGACACTAAAAAAAAAAAAAAAAAAAAAAAAACTATAAGTAAATAGCAGGAAGATCAGTAGAGCAGAAGGAGGAGAACAGGAGAGGGAAGAAATGAGGGAAAAAGGAAGTTCTGGGGACTGAATTAGAGCAAATTATATTTCATGCTTTTAAAAATATATCAAAATGAATCCTAATGTTATGTATAACTAAAGATAATCAACTTAAAAAAAAAAAAAGCAACCTTCAGTGAATCGTACTGCTTTAACCACACATTCAACTGGTTGGCTAAAGCAGCTAAATAAGATTATTGTGTTTGCAATGGAGTTTCATTCAGTTATAAAGAAGAAATTGTGTCATGTGCAAGAAAATGGATAGAACATGACAGCATAATAGGCCAGACTATATGGAGAAGGTAGAATGGAGAAAGGGGGAAAAGAGGGCATGGATCTCATGAAGACAGAAGGGAGACTGGGAGAGTAGGGGAAGAAGACAAGGGGTAGTGAGGAGGGGAGGGAAGGAGGGGCAATGAGGAATGAAACTGACCAAATTTTATGTGCATGTACAAATCTGTCACAATGGATCCCACTATTATGTACAACTATAATGTAGAAATAAAATTTTTAGACATTATTGTGTTTGCATAAGCATTATAATTCAAACAAATCAGTACAATTTAAGTGAGGGTGCCCAGTTTCTGCACCTTACAGATAATGCAAAATCAAACTGGCTAAAAAGACCTATGAAGTATGTGAAGCAGAAAGCATACATGGAATAAAATATAAGAATTAAAAAGGAAATAGCTCATCCCCAACAAACTAGTCTTAACGAGAAAAGGCAGAAAAAAAAATCAAGTAATACTTT